TGAAGCCTGGTCTGCCTTCGTCAGAATGGCGTAAAGACAGTAAGGAACAAATGTCTGCCGCGGATACGGTTTGGGGTTTGGAGTTTAGGGACCAGGGCTTAGGTTGTTATTGGCGGAAGAGTATTTGAAAGTGGCGTCTCATTCAAACTACTGTTGCGGCTGCTGTTGCCAGGCTTCGGGTAGTCTAGCACGCTTCTTCAACATGCGGGGGGTTGCCCCGAAACACTGTTGCCCAACATGGGGGAAATCAGTATAGGAACTCGTAATATACTGGCAAACCACAAACAGTTTAGCCACACATACTATCATGCAGGACTTAGGAAATCTACTCATGTACAAGCCGGCTGGTTCTGAAACAGAGCCAAAAACTACGCTTAGATTCCTAAACCCAAAGCCCAAAAGCCCGAACTCTAAACCCTATGTATCCTAAACCCTCAACCTCTAAGCCCTAACCCTAAACCCTAAACCATAAACCTTGAAGCCCTAAACCCCTAAGCCCTTAAGCCCTAAACCCTAAACCCTCATGTCTAATGTCAAGCCTTGAGCTCGGCGTCTTCATGCCGTCGCTTCAACTTGGTGATTTGCTCCTCGCAGGAAGGCAGTGGGGAACAGCATCTGAAAAATGATTTAAACATTGAAAAATGTTTAGCTTCAGTCGTCGATTTGGGCAGGAAAGAATTTCAGCCAAGAGTTTTAATTAGGGGTGGAGGGTTTAGGGCTTAGGGTTTATGAGTCAGGGTGAGTTTGGGGTTTAGGGTGTAGTGTGAGGATTTGGGGCTTAGGGTTTAAGGAGGTTGTAGGTTTGGGGATTTGGGTTTGGGGTGCAGAGTTTAGGTTTTGGGGAATTTGGGGAGCTTGAGGTTCTCGGAGTAGTACGCGATGCTAAGCACCAAGCCCTAGGCCTTAGATCCCAGACCCTAAACCCCAACCACTAAACCCAAGACCTGACTCCCCAATCCCTGAACCCCCAACCCTGAGCCTCAAAGCCTGAATCTCCAGACCTCGAGCCCGAATCTCTAAGCGCAAAGCTTAAGCCCCGAACCCGAAACCCGAATCCCCAAACACTACCGAAACAACCCTGGCAGCCCTAAGCCCGAAACCCTAAAACCCCAAACCCTAATCCCTCACCCTAACTAAAAACCCAATGCCCTAAAACCCAAATCCAAAAACCCTAAGCCCTAAGGCCCTAAACCCTAAGCCCTAAGCGTTGAACCCTAAACCCCAAGCCTTAAAACCCCTAAGCCCTGAAATCCAAAACGATGGACCTAAACCCTAAAGCCCAAGCCCTAAACCTAAAACCCCTGAGCCCTGAAACACAAAACTATGGACCTAAACCCTAAAGCCCAAACCCTGAACCTAAACCCCCTAAGCCCTAAATCCCAAACCATAAACCCCAAGCCCAAAACCCTAAGCCCTAAACCCTAAACCCTAAGCCCTTCACCTCAAAACTTAGACCCTACACCCTAACGAAACCCTAAACCGCACTTGGCCTCCAGGGCTTTTCGCTCCTTCGAGTTCAGGGAGCCTGGAACTCTGCTTGTGCTCTGTTCTGGGGTTCAAAGGGGTTTGGGGGTTCGGGTGATTTAGGGTTTAGGGTTTTGGGTTTTGGCTTCCGGGCTTTGGCCTGTAGAGGGGTGCTTTAGGTCCCTTAAAAGAGGTTATGGAGATATATAGGATTTAGGAATGTGAGTTTAGGGATTATAGGGTTTAGGGTTTAAGGGCCTGAAATATGGTTCAGGAGTTTGAGGTTCAGGGCTTAAGGTGCAGGGGAATGCGTAAACGAGCACTTTTGCATGAGCTTACCATTACCTCTTGCTCACTTTCAATGATTCCTTCAGCTGCTATGGTTTGTCAGGATACTATACCACCCCTGCCCCTGCCATTGAATGTCCATCTGCTTAATGAAGAGGTGTAGTACTATGGCGAGAAAGCAGAGCAAACACTCATGGCTCAGGAAAGTAGAAGCCTTGATCGGCTCTCGTAACTTGCAGGGAAAGCAAGCACTTTCAGTCAGAACACCTAGGCCTGGCAACACTTATGTGTAAGTGATTCTTGTTTATTCATACCACGACGAACAACATCCACTACCGTTTCCATGGTTCATATCACATCACAATAGCTCTTGTCTGGCTTAAAAACAACACCCTCATAAACCAGACCCTTACATCCCAGTCTGGCAGTCTTCCTTGAATATGAAGCCCATGTGAAACATAGTCTAAACTCCAAGTATCCCCCTTAATAAGCCCTGTAATACTGCCCTATACAATCCCAATCCCCTTCTAGCCCCACTTAAATGAATTTAGACTATAGCCCATGGGGCGCCTCCATCTTTCTCCACCTTCGGGGCCTGAGATGCAAGTTAATCCGGGGGCGTTGGTTGGGCAGGACCCCCCCAAACCTCCACAAGGCTTAGGAAAAGACACCACGAAACACGGGCGTTTCCGGTAAGATCCTGTACGGACGAGTAGAAGGGACTGTAGGATACTAGGATATTGTCTGGTTCGGACTTGGGCTTTTCAATACCTAGCACAGGGCCTCCTTCCTACGACCCTACTTTAGCAGCTCCCCCAAATGGCGGGTGGGGCAGCGTGATGTTTGGGACTTGGCCTACCTCTGGGAATGAACAAACCTCAGATTTTCAAAAGGCCCTCCAAGCTCCACAGTATCGCGACCCAGACACTATTCCAGTCAAGTCCCGAACCCCCGGACCGACAAACCCCAAATGCTCCAGTTCCTAGACCCGAACCGGCGAGCTCTTTTCCTAGAGGGTTGTTAGGGCTATTGAGGAGTAGTATTCGTAACCCCCCAAACAGGTATTAGATCGCAAGGTCTAGATACAGACTACTTCCCCAACTCCAGATGCCTCAACATCGAACTCTTGGCAATCTCTACGCAAATTAAATCCAACGGCAGTGCTCCAAAATAGATCAAACGCAGAACAATACCCGAGCCAGAAAAGGATGTATGTTCTGAAGCGAAACAACACACACTGTGCCTAGCCCACCGCGCTGCAACCTTAAACACGGAAATGAGACCTCCTCGAGCCGCAAACCTATAACCCCTGCTACTGATACAAATATTTATTGCATGAGTCCATGCACCCAAGACCTCTGAAAATCTTATGCCAGTATAATGAGATCATGAAGTTTTTGGGTTACTTATCTCTGATGTTGCAACCCCACGCATAGTTGCGGCTTCTGACTTCTTGGTGCCGTGGACCTCCATGTAACTCCATTGAACCCTGAGCCCTAAACCATCAATCTGAACCCGAAACACTAAACATGAACGAAATCCCAAACCTGAAGCCTTAATCCTACACCCTAGGCCTGAAACCCTAAGCCTAAACCCCCAAAACCCTCAACCTTTTACCCTAAATCCTGCACTCGAAGCCGACACCCTGAATGTTGAACCCTAAACCCTACCACCTACGTCCTATAAACCCTAAACCCTTTCCCATTTCATCTCGCAAGCCAAGCAACGAAGGAGCTCTCCTTCTCGTGCAGTTCCTCGGCGCCGCCCTTAACCTGTGTAGGGTTTTAGGGTTTAAGGTGCAGGGTTTAGGGTTTAAGGTTTGAGGTTTAAGGTTTGAGGCTTAGAGTTTAGGCTTTGGGATTTAGGGTTTAGGGTCTGATGTCGGAGCTCTTAGACGAACGTTGAACCCCAAAGCCCAAACGCGAATCCCTAAACCCTTGCCCTTGGAATACAAACCACGGTCCTTAAAACACAAACCACAATCCCTGGACCGTAAACCAGAACCCCTATGCCTGCCCTCAGCCCGAATTCCTATAATGCCTATTACAGAAGTTACTACATGAGGTTTAGGGATAGTACCCCAACAATGGGTCAGAATCATATGAAAAGAGCATTTAAAATGAAATGGAAACTGGGGCGGGCTCACTACTGTAAACCCATTGTTCCCAGGCAAACCCCAGATAAGCCCTCTTAAACCCTAAACTTCAAAGCCCGTAAAACAACCCAGCCCGGTTTTGGCAAGGCACATGCTTGGGCTCGGTCTTGGTCTTTGCGTCCTGCGCATCTACGGCCCACCCGTACTTGAAGGGTTTAGGGTCCCAGACCCCCTAAAGGATCCA